CTATCGCTTTATTTTAGTGATTCTTTGTATTTTAATACTTTTACAGATTACGTAAATATGCTATCAATCGCTTCTCTTCTTTATCTAAATTAGTTCTGTTGAATCTTTGAGTATTCGCTATTAACCTTTAGATCATCTAATACTGTAATAAATAGAGTTGTGTTACATAAATTACAATTTTGCAATACGTATATACATGTAATTTTACGTAAGTTTCAGTAAAATAAGATTTCATGTAATTTTCGTGAAATACCAGCTTTACGAAAGAACGGCTAACATTATGCATCATTTGAGTTAAATACTGAAATATATTATCTGAATTGTAACTCATCAAATCACCGAAAATTTAATCTCAGAAACTAATATCTTGTGTTCAAAATTACAAATTATATGAAAAACTAATTTACGGAAACTTACTCAAAATTACAGAAACTTACTCAAAATTATGTAAAATTACACAAAATTACAGTAATTTTACATAAATTGAGCCGTAAAATAATATTTAAAATCGGATAGTTCTAATAGATTATTTTCTGGGTCCGCCAAGAAAAATTTTCACCTAATATCAAATCCTTACTATATATCATGATCCGATTCATATCTGTATCAAAGTCAAATATTTAAACAATCTCAGCTATATAAATGCTCATTTATACTATATATATATATATATTGGGTTCGATAAGGTGCCTAAATTTAAAATTGACAATGTATAAAAAAAATTGGTTGAAAAATATCCATTACAATGGATTTCACATAAAGAATTTTATTATAAAATCGATGTATTTCCTGCAAATTGTCCAAACAACGAACAAATATAGAAAAGAATTCTTCGCTTAAACTACTCCAAGATCAAACTCTGATAAAGAAAGGGTTATAAAAGAGATAATTTATTCCATGCTAATTATTTTAATACATATATATTTATTAAGTATTTATTTTGAGGTGTATTGTGATATTAATTCTAAGCATCTCTTATTTTAAAATGTTATGGAATACAAAAGATGAAAAAGCAGAAGACTATACCCTTGTTTAAAACATGCTGAGAAATTTATCATATACAAACCTTTACAAAATAGCACGGATGGGTTGGATTATATTGTATTGCTTCTGGTTTTCAGATAATTCATTTTTAAAGACTTATTTATCTATCGTTTATTAGCAGTAGAATTAGGCCGCCTTATCTCAAGATAACCAATTCGGTTCTATGAATATTTTGCGAGACTATTGAATTATAAGTACTGAGCTGTCATAATATTCTGTAACAAGGGTGATTATACGCAAAGTCCTCCATGTTAATTGTTTTTAAATCCGTTTTATTTCTTTCTCATGAGTTTTTTGTTATCAATATTTTGATGAGACAAGCTGAATCATGTGCTAGCACAATACAAAATAGAATTTCTACTAAATTACTAACTTTATGCATGTCATGCTTTAACAAATCAAAGTTATTTGCTGCATCTATTGCTCATATTGGTTCTATTTTTTTTATATGTAATTAATTATTTATAAAGAATTTCAGACCTCCAAAAAAATAAGACAAAAGAGTTATTTGCAAAGGCTTTAACATGTAATATAGGTTTGATATAGTATAAGCAAAACACTGATATCTAAAAATAATATATTATATGCTAGTTAATTACGTATCAGAATGAGAAAAACAAATAAAATATTTTCGTAAATCAGATTCGGCCGAAAAAATACATTTATAGCGTTTCTGTGTATATTATTTCTTGCATATATAGTAAATATAATTAAATAATTACTACTTTATATTGACCAATATTACCGAACCATATTTCAAAGTTCTATTTTTAGTAATTCTCCGAAGATCGCCAAAATTAGATAAGTATCATTAATATCAGTATTACACAACATAAAAAGTTTTTTACAATACGTACGTACCGATATAATTTTAACGAAAATTTTCATTCTTAAGTGAAAAAAAAATCAAACCCGAACTTAAGTATATATAGAGTAAGCTATAGAAAATTTCCTTTGAGAAATTTCTTTTTCCGCATACAGTATATATCGCCAAGAGAATTTGCGCATACAAATTTAACTTTTAATATATTGGCTTTGAAAAATCGTGATATTACATAATTTTAATTGCAATTAGTATTCGATTATTTGGACGATGCAAGCATGTTCAAATTATTATTGTAATTTACTTAACAAATTTTCTTTGCAATATTTATATCTCTTTACTTATATGCTATATACTTAAGGTCAGTATAATCTAAATATGTGATACTAAAAAATTTACCATTTACTTTCTAATTCAACTTGTGTAAGATGGTTTTCGTAACTGTCTTTTTTCTTGTTTTAGTGGAAGAATATTGGTGTTAGAAGTTATGTGCTTATGAGGTTTTATTTCTTCAGACATAACATCAACTAGATTCTGTGCTTCTCTGAAGGAGGTTGAAGTAATAATACCGTTAAGATGATGCAATAAGGTGTCTTGATCATTACTGTTAAAATATTCTTGTTCTGATGGTTGTTCAGAGTTAATTAGATTTTGAAGAAACATTAAGTTGTCTTGTAATGTATGGAGGCTTTTAGAGGTAGATTCAAAAAATTCTTTAAGTTCTTGTTGATGAATAGCGGCAGCATTTAAACTGCTAATATTAATTATATTAACTCTTGATTGAATTGGTACAGGTTCATTTGATTGCGATGATTTGGTTCGAGCATTAAATCCAAGAATATGTTCAATGTAATTGAGAACTTCTTTCGATGAAGATTTTGTAGAACCATTATTATTGTTATCAGTTTCTGTATTAGTATCATCATTTTCATTGTCGGCAATATTATCATTTTCATTGTCGGCAATATTATCATTATCAATATCATCACTTTCTAGCATTTCATATTTATTATTATATAGATTATGCCGAATATTTTGAGCCTCCTGATAAGTTGGGAATACCATTTCAGGTAATTGTAAATGTGGCATTTGTTTACGAAGTTCTTTAAGATAAAGAGCTGCAGCACGAAGATGCTTACACATGATTCCTTTTTGAAGAAAATCAAAGCATTGGCAGCAAATATCTGTCGGCTGTTCATATACACAAGTTGTATAGATGAATCCTGATGTAGTTTTAGACTCAACTTCAACATAAATCTTTCCGGTTAGTTCTTCAATTTCGTATTTTATTATTTTATTCATATTAATAATTCTTTTTGCTGATTCATCACGGTTTACACTTGGAGACAAATAGGCAACTTGTGAAAATTCTTGTGTAAGAATTTTACGGTCAGATAGATTCATTATATTAAACTCTATTCATTGTTCAACTTTCTCATGTTCAAGATTTATAGCAAGATTTCGTAATATTAATATGTTAGGTATAACTTCACAAACAAGAGTAATATAAAGAATATCAGCTCTAAGAAGATGGCTATTTCTTTGAAAATGGCTTAATTGATTATTTTTCAAATATTCGTTCATCCCTTCAAGGTGATTGTTCATTGTAAGAAGTTTTTCTAAAGGGATTCCAAGAGTCTTCGCAGCATTTATCCGTCTATTAAGGCACCAACTATAAAGAAGATTCCCAGCCCACTGTTTTTTTAAGTAAGTAAAAAATTTTAAACCACCTTCTAAAACTTTTTTATTTTTTGGTATATTTTTAAATATATTTTTTACAATTCTTGCATTTTGGGCAAGAATATCTGAAGTTCTTACATTAAGATTTAATAAATTTTCAACACTTTTTCTTATATATGGTAGAAGTCTATACGGTGGATCATGTTGTGGTTGAGAAGTCACACATTGCTCAGAATGTTCCAAGTATCCTGCTACACCACAAATTTCATTATTACGAAGAGTTAATGCAGCAAATGCAAAACATCCTACATATGGGTAACAAGCTGCTGAAACTCTAGAACCAGGTACAGTTGTTTTATCTCGATAACTTTCACATATACATTGTTTGACAATTAATATTTTGCTTGATTGACGGATAGACCATTTATATCTCACATCATCAGAATTGAGATTAAGATCATTTTCCTGAAGAAATTAATTACGATTTGCAACTTGATCTTCATTAGACAAATCCCACACTGTTTTAACTACCCCAGGTGCACCATTATCTAGCAAATCTTTAAGTTTAATTTTATTATCTTCTTCTAGTAGAAGATGTGAATTTAGTTTTGCTTTTACTCGTGGCTTATAACTGTCTCTTTTTTTAATTTCGTCAGAAGTTTCAGACTTTGAAGAAGACATTTAACTCGAAGTTAATATAGCTAGAAATATGAATTGAAATAAGAAATAGAGGTCAAGTATGTATAATTTTTAATGAATATAAACATTTGTAAAAGCGATTAACTTTCAGATATTTTTTATTAAATATATCATTATGACACAATTTATTTATTAAACTTTTAAACTTCATTATATATTACAGACATCGTTATTGAATGACGTATAGTGGAAATCTGTAAGTAAAATTAATGTTATTACTAATATATATTTTTTTTTTTTTTTTTTCGGTGTTAAGGTGACCTCTTGGCCGGGGACTTTTTATTAGATAATTAACAACGTTACAA